ATCAAAATCAATGGAAGGCACTAGAAGTCCAAAAACCTAAAAGGAAAAATCATTTCCCAGATATACCAACAATAAAAGTCATTCCCTTGTTACATAATTTTGATTATTAGCAAAATAGAAAAGGCAGAGACTCGGACAAATTTTTCTATTCTGTATTTCACTGATATCTCTGAGGTTCTGTGATGCTCTGAGTTTTTGGCTCGGTATGTATTTCTGACTGATCTTTTGAGTAGGTCTCATCAGAGCAACACATTCAACAACCTCCAGGAGATTTAAGGCAAAGGTACTCAGAGCATCAGAATTAATACTCATACTGTGTGACCAAATACAAGTAGGTCAACTTGAAACCTAAATCTCTGTCACAAGTCAAAATAATGAATACATTTCTGGTATATAAAAATGAATGCAATGGGATTATTTCTGTTCTTCCTACTCTAATATAAATAGGTAAGCCCTTTTCATCACTTTCTTTCACCACATCTTCCACCATCCAAACTTACAAGAAGAGTCTGGAAGGAGAGAGGCAGGAGTAACGGCTACCAAGGTGATATCAGACAGATCATGAATACCTGAAGTCACAGATGTCTGAATAAGACACAGACATAGGAGGTAACTGCAGCACCACACAGTTAGATAGTGATCTCAGCCAAAGTAAAGGGGACTTTTTCTCCTCATCGCTTCCTTCCAACTGGATTTGAGGTAGGAAGAAGTTAAGCAAATTAACTGTTTCTAAGTAGTACGATATGTATGTTCATCATCTGAATAGCCCTTAATTTTCTACCTTATTCTGCAATATTACAGTGCCTTTGCATACCCAGTTTGGTGGACTGGTTTACAGCACTATACACTCACATGAAATTCAGAAGTACCTCTGGGATTTCAGCTCCCTAAGTCAGCAAGAGCTTATAGTATCACAGAGATAACGGCTGTCAGTCTCTCAAGGGAAAAGCTCTGCTCATGTTGCTCTTGAAATGAATGATGGAACAGCATTAGAAACATCCTCACTGATAGAGGCTGACAGTTCCTTTATTGTCTAGAGTTAGAACTGCATCAGATACAGTATGCTGCATTGTAAAATAGCACAGTTTGATTCTGAATAGAGAACCACTCGTTATGTCAGGAAGTCTTAACAGAGAATAAGAGTAGTGGAATGAAGGGAGGAATGGGCAAGACAAGGGGGGGAAAAACAGTATTTTTAAGAACAATTATGTGAATCCTCTACAGCCAGTTGACCCTCTCATACTGTAAAATCTTACTGGAAGATGAGCCACTTGCCTGGGAACCCATTTGTTTTCAGTGTATCACATACAAATTATGCTAGGATTACTACAGTTGTATCTAACTGAATTAGGGCACTGTGTTCAGGAGAATAAATTAGAAAGTAGTGTTCCTTATCAAGTCCATAAGAAAGTTTGGCCTAATCCAGAAGACTTAAATTAAGAAGCCACTCTTCTACTTGTCTACCCAGAGAACACATGGATCCTGAAACAAGCTTCACAGAGGGAGTCTGAATATTCTCTGATATCCTCAAAGTGAAAGACCCTCAAATACTAAATATGGCATTAGTGCTAGGATCAGGCTGCCAGCTGGTAAAATATAGCTACGTCTTCATGTTTAATATCATCTACATCTTTGACATATCAGCTGAGCCTCTGGGTGATTTCAAAGAGGCTAATTATAATTACCTCTTCCTCTTACTAATAGTGCCACAGAAAGAGTAATGATGACACTTGTTCAGCATATCTGGCCTATGGTCTATCTGAGAAACAGGACACTCAGTGACACAGGCCAGCATGCTTCCTGCATTTCTGTGTGCTCTCTGAATTCTTAACATGCAAACATCAAGCTCTCTTACCTGGAAGAACACGAAGCAGCTCATGGGCCCAAAGACCTACCACTGCTTCCAAGGACAGAAAAGCACAATAAATTGGCTTCCCAGTGTGTGGAATCACAGTCCAGATTAGATCCAGCCAACTCAGTCAACTGCTTATTTCACAGCATTTCTTTCAAAATAGTTCAGATATTTTCAGAAGTGCAGGAACTTTGAAAAACTTACACTAAAACAATTGCAAAGCCTGTAAAGTTAATATTTTCAAAGGACTGACATTAATATATGATTTATAACTGCATTGTCACATACTGTAAACTGACTTTCATTATTATTTTCCCAGTGTTTCAGAGGTCATTACAAATGCTAACACAGAAGGGAAGGTGGTGTTTCACCTCTAACTATTGGCAGCATTTACCAGCCTGAAGATGTCTTCTTATAACCATCTAAGAAACTGGTTTCTCAGTAGATAGTACAAAGATCCATCTGGCACACTAAGTGCCAGACTCCAAGTATATGTTCATTTCAGTACACCAGACCTTATAGCTGGAGTTCCTATTAGAGTCCATAACAGCATCCATGCTGCTACCTTCTAATGGCAAAAAAAGTGAGCAAGACTCCAACAGAAAACAGCTAAGATTTGCACAAGTCCCTGATCAGAATAACTTTCAAAACCATTTTTAGGAATTTTCTGCCTGATTTTTCTTTCAAACACAAAGGACCCAGGAGCTACCAAAGTTCTGCTGGGCATAATGGGGGTAGAATTTGATTTTGTTCATCCTTTCAAGAATGCCATTGAGGTTTGTAAATATTCACTGTGGTGCTAAGGTTTTGAAAAAGTAGTTATACAGCAAATTTGAATGATTAATGATCCAAGACACTTTAACATGTTATTTCTCTATTTTCAACATAAATAGTGTGTAAAGGGTGTTTAAAACTTTAATGAATCGAACTATATGAGTAAAGAATGTTAATCATTTTAATTGCCCAGTAGCCTGAAATTAGATTTAACAGTCTGATAATGTATCTTTAAAGGAATACAACCCTGCTCTATAAAAAATCCCTTCCAAGCCAATTCTAATAATTTCTATTTATCTTTTATGACATTAACTGTTATACCAGTCTGCCGACAGACAGCCTTACGCTCACATTTAGTTTAAATGTGGTGCAGTATAGTTTTTCATTATCATTAACGTGCTCCTGGTGGGCAGAGTGCAATGCAGTGGCACTGGTCACACTTCATTGCTTTATCTCATATGACAAAGAGAGATGATGTGCTTCAGTCCAGGCCAGAAGATGAAAGCAAAAGGTGGCCATGGAAAACTCCCCCTGCTGCCTAGGAACAGCATAAGGGCTGCATCGTGTGACTTGCTAACAGCATGAAGGGGCAGACAAATAGATTTTCCTCTATATTTATAACCAGCATCATTCTTCCTTTCAGGCCTTTCAGTGCAGGTAGCTGTTTTATATGAAATGAACAATCTTTATAGACGTACCAGAGCCATAACAAGGCTGATTTTCAGCGAGGCTGAGGTATATAACTCTTACAGAATTGTCAGGCTTCTTGCTCAACAAATCAAGCCTAACTTATGATGTTTGCAGTGTAATTTTTATTCCTGTTTGACTAGCCAACTACCCAGTGGTAATAGGATGTTAGAAAAGGGCAGTAGCAATGTTTGTACATGCCATGATTGATAGGCAAACTCTGCATTTTTCATTTATATCTCCTGATTCCAAATCAGTTAAGTTTAGGAAAAATGAAACAAAATGGCAAGAAAAATGCTTGCAGATTGCAGCCCAGCACTCTCGTAGATCTGAGTTCAGCCCACATCTGCTAGGATTGTCTGGAAACATTAAGATATCTAAATGAAAATCAATACTATATGTGCCAGCATTTACTACCAAGAACAAGTATCAAGAGACCTCAGCTAATCAGGCTTTCAAGCTTGTACTTGAGCCATAGTCTGAACCCCAGGAGTGTCCTAATTGGCCCAGACTAATCATAGAAGAGTTAAATTTATAACCAGGAAAGACATCTTGTTTTTCTTACCAGTCATCATTTTGAAACTGAACGCCTCTCACCTGCGTGGTAGCGGATGTATGGTGATAGCCACTGGTCATGCAAGAACAACTACTTACCTGTCAAAGGTAAAGCAAAGACTAATTTACTGTCTTCCATAAAACCAGTCAGGCACATTTAAGCTTTTGGTGGGTATATAGTGCTATCAAGCCTTTCACACGGCTGCATATTTTCTCAACTTAAAAGCTCTGCATTTAACCCTCCTGTGCTAGAAGATAGAAGGTTTATATTTTAGAGGTAAAAGACCCTCTCAACACACACCAGTCTCCCAAACTAAATTTTTATTGCTGCGACATAACTATTTTCAATTCACATATTGTTGGTGGGATTTTGTTTTCTTTTCCTACTGTAGAGCATGCAGATGTGCACAGAAAATAATACACAGTAGTTCAGTTTACCTTCATAAGGCACAAAAATATACACAATATTTTTTTCTGTAGGAAAATTCCTTATCCTAAAATGAAATTGTGCACAATATCTCTTGGAAGAATCTTAAATTCCACAGTTAAAAAATTATACTGCATTGGGGAATTAGGTTCCTAATATTTGTATTTGAAATGCCAAATGTGAGCAGATTTTATACTATTTTCAACAAATTAAACACAAATATGTAAAATGTTTATGAAGCTCAGGCTTCTATTTTAGGGGGGTTTTTTTGGTGGTTTTTTTTTTTGTTTTTTGTTTTTTTTTTGAGTAACTTAATAATTCTGTATAGATTTCTTTTTAAAAACAAAATAAAGTGATGAATTAAGCCTAGAAATGCAAAACCTAATGTTTTTCAGTTTTCTTCAAAAGCATATGTAAAATTCCCTGGAGACTCACATCTACCAGAAGTTTAATAATATTATTTAGATTCTTTATATCCCATATGTTAGATGTATTTTTAATGCATACCTCTTAAAACAAAGGCAAAAAGTTGTCAGATATTGCATTCTCTTCTTACCACTGTTAATGGTTTCCTAGACAGTGCTATCATGGAAACAACATGGCATGTTGTGATCAATGAAAGCTTGTTTCTCACATGGCACAACGTTTCCCTTGGATTCTCATCTCCCACTAGTGCCTGCTGTGAAATTTTGTCAGTTCTTTTACCTTCAAGGATTTCTTGTCCTCCATTGTTGTAAACTGCTGTGTTATCTTCCCAAATCAGCCTTCCTGTCTTCTTTGCCGCTTCACCTCCCACTTCTCATGGAACAAGAAAGCTATCTTCATCTTCCCCTTCTGTCCCTATGCCTGATAACTTGCTGCTCTCTCACTGTGTAGCACAGAACAAGGTAATGAACAAAATAGAGCAGATAGTGAATTCCAGCAAGATTCACTCAAATCTACATTTGAAGAAAGGCGACTAGAAGTCTTTCCAAAACAGTTCAGTTATCTGACTTCGTATTTCTAGACCAGATAGTTCACATGTCAGTCAGTAGAATATCACAAGCATTCTAATCATCAATACACAGAATTAGGTTCAAAGATGCATTTAACAGTGACTTCATTATTAATGAAAGCTACAAACCATACTCAGGAATTCCTCATATCTGCAGAATTCTTTTGATACAAATTCTTGAGCTCCTTGCTTAGCAGAAGACCTTATGATACTCACATTTCAAATACATTTTAAAAAAATAGACCAGGACAGTTCAGATGGAAGGGAACTTCAAAGATCATCTAGTCCAACTCCTGACCACTACAGAACTAATTAAAAGCTAAAGTTATTGAGCACGCCATTCAAAAGTCTTTTAAACACGGGTGGGCTAAGGGCCTCTCTAGAAAGCTGTTTCAGTGTTTCCACCTTCACAGTCGAGACATTTTTCCTCATCAACAACAAAAAATTCTGATTTGGTCCCTCTTGCAGTAGGTAGGTACGAAGACCTTCTGAACTGAACTGAGCAAAAGCCACTGCTGTCAGCACATCCAGATCATTCACTCACAGACAGTGCCATAGAGACACAAAAAATGCATAGGCTCAACTTGGTACAAAAGAAGAAAAAAAAGTAAGATTGAATGTATGTGGCAGCTTATAGCATTACAGTAAGGCAAAGAGGTCAATTAATAACATTGTTGTTTAAGGATCTATTTCCTCAGTTTTGCAGCTTTCTTGAGATAACTACTAATACCATCAGGTACAGTTTGACCCCCTAAGGAGCAGACCACAATTGCACAAAAAAATGAAGACCACTCCCTCTTCTTCAGCTCTGTAATTTCACAAAGGCTAATAAGCCCTGGAGACGGAGGTCTCAGTTATAAAGGAAGAGACCTGCACCAGTCCTGCTGGAAGAAATTCCTGTATGGGTAGTAAAAAAGGGTATACAAGTCATTTCAGAGCTAAGAACAAGGCCCAAGTCACCTCAAACTCTCATTGAAAAGATGATTGATTCTGTTCTATTTTGCTTCTTCCAGCAGAACATTGTAGGATATTTTCTCTGCTGCTTGCCACCAAGTTTACTGCACTTGTCTGCCAAGTTCTGCAGTTGTCAGATGAACATGAACTCCCCCCAACGGTGTACACCTATTTTCCTTCTGATGCAAATTCTCCTTTTTACTAGCAGTACAAATCAGAAAAACACATATAATTCTTATTTTCATCTGATACTGAATAAAGCTACTTAAAGCTTATGCCAAATTAATAATCTTTTCTTGGCAATTTCACACCAGGATTCCATGCCAACTTTTGTTTAACAAGCAATGTTATTAACAGAGAAAATACAAATTTCTTTTTTGTTGTTGTTTCTGCTTTGAATTTGAGTTTTTTGATGTAGTGAATTCTCCAGTGTATATATATACCTAAAAACTGAACAAAGGCACAGCAGTTGTGTCATTTCCATGAGAAGTGCTAATGTACTCAAGTTTTAGACAGCTTAGGAGGTTTGTTGGTTTCTTTTACATATTAAAATCACTACTGAAAATAGAGATGCAAGACACAAGATTCAGACTCTCCTCTAAGAGTGCTGTTTCAGGCACTTCAAGAGCTGGAGTTTCTAAGAAGACCTCGCTTCTCAGTGCTACCCAGGAAGTAGAAATGAGTTAGAAAGGAGGTTTAGCTAGTCAACAGATTATTCTCCTGGCACCGGGTACGCACTGCTGCTAACGTGCCAGCTCTCCTGCTGCCACCCACCATCTCAGCATATGGGGTGCGTCAGGAGTAAAAGGCAGCAGAACAGCACATCGCTGTATTTCTTTTTTCCCTCATACAGCTTAGTTAAATCACTGACTCTACTGCTAGCTCTAAGAATTGCTTATCAGCAGAGCAGAGACTGCAAGGTCAGGGATGAAAGCAATAAAGGAGTAGTATCTTCCCTTCCTCCTGGGCTGAGGATCAGCCCTTGATTCTCACTATCATCATTAGCTCAAGAGAATATTTTGCAAGTCTGCAAGTGAAAACAAAGTAGAAAAAACACCCCTGCTACTCATGGTGAAGTGTACAGCAAAATCAGGAACAACCTGGGAGCTGCTTATCCAGTTCTTCATCTTCTCTTCTAGTGCTGCTACAACTCAATACAAACCTTCTTCACATCCATCCCATCTATTATTATATTTGCTGAACCAAAATCCTTAAACATTCTGCATCTTTTTCTCTCTTTCTTTTGAGTTGTACAGATGGGTTGCTTCTTTGGAATTGTATGAGAATTATTTTGAGTACTATCATTTGCCATCATCCTGTGACATCCTGTTATAATTAGTCTAGTTATGTCAAGTTCTTTGTTGAAGATTAATCTCATTCCTCCAGCGTTGCCTCTCTCCCCTTGTTAGATTGTGCCCCAATTTTTCTCTGTGTATTGCTGTAAGAGGTCTTCTAAAGTTGCTCTCTACAATCCAGCAAGTTCTAACAGATGTAAAATTGTGGAAGAACCAGAGCAGAAATCAATGACCAAAAGTCACCACTCATCACTGACTGAACTCTTCAAATAGCCAACATTTCAACTTGTAATTAAAGCAAATAGAGTTCATGCCACCTCTCAGAAGTAACACAGCTTTTGTACTGTTTGCTTGTTTACTTTCAATGCGTTTGGGACACTGACAAGATTCTTTATGAGCCCCTCTGAAAGAGGACACCCAAAGAACCCCCAGGAAGCAGTTCTGGCCCACTGTACTTCTTTCTGTAGGCAAGGAAGAGATTGCCTTTAACAGTTCCTGACAAGGTGCAGTATGTCAGAGAACTGACACTGAAGTACCTAAGCGTGTCTGCAAAAAGGATGCAAAATGACATAAAAATACTTGTCTCAGTTTAGTGTGTCATCACTAGCTTTCAGAGTTAACAATTCATTAACTAAATTAAAAGGAGGCGTGTCTAGAACCCTTTAGCCTGATCATCAAGGAGTAATCTGAATTTGAAAGATTTCCACATCAAAAACATTGGCAAAGCCAATCCAAGATTTTACAGGACATGATGGTACTCCACGAATGACAAAAAGGACAGTTCCCTAACTGCAGCTGATTTCTGGGGAAAGAAAGTACTTTTCCTTGATCTTTGCTCTGAGGCTTTCTGCAAGGAATGCAAGTGGTGCTCTTTATAATACTGTAGAAAATTAATGGTGGCTAGCAGAATAATTTTATTCCAGACAGTAAACAGAAAAGAACTGGATGTCAAGTAGTGACTGCAAAGTAACAAATTTTGTATGATAATATCAGTTTCCTAAATATCCATTTAACACTTTCCTAAAAATACTAACAACAATGTTAATAAAGTTCATTTTACTCTGGTGATTATCTGCTTTATCGTGTTATTTCATTTCATATAATTCATCTTACTCTAAATACTATTTTGTTTTTCCTTTTTCTGTATTTTCTCATGAATTCTTTCTTTCTTGTTCTTTACCTTAAAAATTGTCACTGGCTAAACAACAGCTTCACACCAGAGATTCATTTTTTTTCTAAGCAATCCTTAAGCAGCTGAAATTTGCAAATATCCAGGTTTCTGAAAATAAAATTCTTTTTTCTCCAGGCAATGCCTATATGAAGTTACATTAATTTGCAGTCTAATCATACTGATTTAGCTACCTATATATCAAACTGAAGTGCAGCCACACCACTTTGCAGTGCCAGCAGAAGGTACTTCTGCTGTTAATCATTGTACAGCTCAGTACTTGGTTTGAAATACCCACTCATTACATAGCCTATGGTACAGTATTCCATTCCTCAGCCCTGTCCTCCCATCCCTGCTATCTGCTCAAGCACTTTACTCCCAGACTGCCTGTCCTGTTGAGGATAGGTAATGTCATCCACGATGTTCAGTTTTAGTGGCATCGCTTGCAGAAGTGATAGCAAATAGAGAACAAGGGACAACAACATCTATTTCTAGCAATTTCCATTCCGTGTTCTTTATTTATTCTAGTTACCTGCTCCAGAAGCATGTTCTCTTCTCCCTTGGATCATTCTAATCCTTGAAGGGCCGACCACACAGAATTAAAGAAAGAAAGATCTTTGTACAGTTCACACAAATTGAGAAAATCTGTTCAAACTAACTCATATGTAATAACAATAATCATCTTTCTTATTCCTGAGCATCACAGAAAGATATATAGGGAGAAAGGCAGAGGTGATGAAAGAGAGTGCTAAACAGCAGCTTAGAGTGGGAAAAAGAAAAAGTAAGGAATGAGTCCAAATAATGAAGTTAATTCATTTCTAGGGAAGATTACTCACAGTCATCCAAGATACCCTTTAAAAGAAACTTTAGCACAGAATATTCTGGACACAAATGCTTGCACAGACAGCTGAATTCCAGAGCTGCAGAAGGGGAAAAAAAAAAAAAAAAAAAAAAGGAAAAAAAAAAAAAAAAAAAGGGGGAACAGCTCTGATCCATTCAAAATAGTTTCTCTTCTTTTTATATTACAATTGGCAACAAACACAAAAATAGTAAAGCTCTTCATCACTTCCTTCTTTTACTAGAAACATCCTAGGCTGCACTGAGTTTAGAATATCACAACGCTGAAACAAAACCAAAGATCCTCAGGATAGAAGCCTGAATGGCAGCAGGCTAGCACCTTTGCCAAAGAGGAAATGAACACAACACTGAACTGGACATAGTTTTTAAAGCAGGTTTGACTAAGGAATCATCATTCTTGACACAAGTCTTACAGGAGAAATGTCTGCTATAATACAATTTTTAATACAATTAGAAGTTTGGCAGGACATTTGTAATATCAATCATTACAGTTCACTTTGACTTTTGGATTTGTGCTGATGCTTGGTTTTTTATGCTTTGGTTAAAAATTATAACATCTTTAGTAGCTGGATATATTTGTATCAGATTCACTAAGTTCA